TTTCCTGCAGCTTCTGGTTCTGTTCATTGTCTCACAATCTCTTCTATTTTATCATCTATAAAGTTACTGTTTCTCACTGTGCAATGCTATGCCATGCTGAGATTTCATGGCCACAGCTTTGCCATCTGATCAGTAAGTTTCAGTCATGGTGCACAACTTACAGAAAACAAGATGTGTTTGTCCCCTGAATTTCCACTGAACCATGTGGAGAAGTTCACCGAGTGTAATGGAGCAGTGTAAGATCGCAACAGGTGGAGCTTAGAAAGAGTTGTTTTCCAAAGTTTCAATGAAACAGTGCACAAATTAATAAAGCAATGTCTTCAAGCATAACAAGTTCAGTGCCTGAACCCCACTCAGTTTCTGGATTAGCACATGCTGAGCTAATTAAAAGTCTTCTGCACAAAAATGGGGTTATTGTATAAACTCATTCTTGGTTTAATAAATTTAGTGACAACTTTTCAGAGAAGGTTGGAACCTTCTATTTTCCTTTACTGTTGTGCCTGTTCATTAAAGATTTCAAAATCAGCCCCTTGCCTTGAACTGATGCATCTGAAGTCACTATACTCTAGCATGAAGGAGATGGCCCCTTCTGTCACCATGTTTCTTATAGCTTATACCCACTGCAGTTTGCTAAAGATTCAGGTACAATAGAAGATGCTATTTAAATACCAAATGCAGTAAACACTTTTTTAAACAATAGTAGAAAAGGGAGGGAATGATAATTCTATTCCTAACATAGAAATATTTTTGATTCTCTACAGAGAACTGTATACAGCACTATCCTTAAGCCAAGTTTCCCTCGTTTTTTTTTAAGGGATATTGTTTTCCTTTATCTTTTATTTTGAGAGAAAAAAAATTACAGTACTAACCACACAGTGGTGCTAGATGGCATTTGGATGGTTTATTTAGCAGAATATAAGAAAAGCCATTTCATTTTTAATACATGTAATTAGCACAAGAGTAGTAGCAATCAGATTTATATAGGATCATGGCACCAAAAAAAAAAAAAAAAACCCAAAAAAACCAAACAACCAAAACAGATTATCTAAGATCTGCAACTTGTCTAGCTGTAGCTGTTTTTACCAATTTCCAAAGCAGAGATGGCACCCCTGAAGCAGAGAATGGCCTTCTGCATCTGTCAACACTTAGTGTGCTAAAAGGAACAGTTTACTGTGTGCAATTTTTTTCTCATTAAATGTATTTTCCACCAAAAATAAAGGTAGTCCAGGAAGGCTTCATTTTTATCAATTTCGATATAGAAATCTCTCAATGTTTTTCTGCATAATAACAGACCAAAAAGCATCTGTGCAGTGATGGACAGTTTCTGCCTGCAAGAAATTTTTCAGGAAAAATAAAAGCAAATTTTATAAATGGTTTTGAAATGGCTCAGCACTGAATTACTGCAGCACTTACAGCACATGCTTACAGAATATGCTATGATAGAGAAGAAATTGTGAACCTGTTTTTAAAGCATATAGCACTTTTTATTAGTGCCTTTCACTGTTTAATATTTATAATTCTTAATTGAATTTGTTGGTCTTATTCATTTACCCACTTTTATTTTTAAAAAGACTTCAATACATACTTAAATATTTGCATAATTTCACAAGGTCAAATCAGGTTATGTCAATTTTATTTTTTATTTCATCTCTCTAATTTTCTTTCTGCATGCCCTAATAACATACTTAAATATTTTCTGAGTTGCTTGCCCACTTTTCCAAAGATTATAAAGCCTCTTTTTTCTCATTAGTTTCTTCAAAAGTCCCTGTCCAGACAGGTCAGTTTGTTGAGGTATTTTCCCCGCAGTGGTAGCTCATCCTGTAGCTTGTCTTTTGACTCATAGGGGTGGCCTGCTCCTGCACCTTCAAGATTTTTTTTTCTTGAGGTATATCTTTCCTTCCTGGACCCCTTTGTTTTAAAGGGCTGTTTCCCACGGTACTCTCTGATCAGCATCCTGAAGAGGAAGAAGCTTGCCTGCCAGAAGTCCAGTGTGGAGCTTTGTTGATACCCCTCCTTGTTTCATCAAACATTGAAAACTCTGTGATCACTGTACCCCAGACGGCCTCTGACCACCACATCTCCCACCAACCCTTCTCTATCTGTAAGCAGAAGAGCTGGCAGAGCCCCACCCCTGCCTCGTGATCTTCAAACATCCTCCAGCTGCTCACAGAATAATTTATCCACCACTTCATCCTGGTTGGGCGGCCTGTAACAGACTCCCACCAGGATGTGTGCCTTGTTGGCTTTCCCCCAGATCCTTACCCTTAGGCACTCAACCTCATCACCATTGATCTCAAATTCTATCTTGTCAAGAGACTCCCCAATGCACAGAGTCATCCCACCACCTCTCCTTCCTCTCCCATCCCTTTGAAAAGCCTGTGACCATCCATTGCAGCACCCCAGTTGTGTGAGTCATCCCATCATGTTTCTGTGATGGTGACTATGGCATGGCTTTCCTTCTGTGTCATGGCTTCCAGCTCCTTGCCTGTGCAACATTAGTACATGCTCTTCAGCTGGGCTGATTTCACCCTCAACTCAGACTTACCACCCTTAGGCTTATCTCTGAATAGCCTGGTTTCATCCCCTTCCCCCTTCACACCTAGTTTAAAGGCTTCTCAATCAGTCAGCTCATGGCCTAAAATCCTTTTGCCCTTGTTAGATAGATGGAGTCCTGTGATGGTGGTCACAGGGGTTTTCAGGTGAAGGGAGAGACGAGAATGTTGACTCCATGATCAGAAGGCTTGATTTATTATTTTATGATATATATCTATTACATTAAAACTATACTAAAAAGAATTAGAAGGAAAGGTTTCCTCAGAAGGCTAGCTAAGAATAGAATAGAAAAGAAAAGAATGATAACAAAGGTAGCTCTCTCAGACTCTGTCCGAGATAGCTCTGTCCTTGATTGGCCATTAATTATAAACATCCAAGATGGGCCAATCACAGGTGGACCTGTTGCATTCCACAGCAGCAGACAACCATCGTTTACATTTTGTTGCTGAAACTGCAGCTTCTCAGAAGGAAAAATCCCAAGAAAGGGTTTTTCATAAAAGATGTGTGCAACATGAGTCCATCTGACTTTAGCAGTCCTGGTGCTTTAAAAGTTACGCTATGATCAAAATCTCAAAATTGTGTGGATGTCACGAGCGCTTAAACCACTTATTGGTAGCATGGATTTTCCTGTTCCTTTCATCATTCATCTCTGCTACTGAAAGAATCAAGCAGAGTGCTGCCTGCACTCCTGCAGTGTTCACCAGAAGTTCAGGCAGTGTTCTGCTCAGTTCCTTCAGTAAGAAGGAACTGAGCAGATTTTCACCAACCAATCGACCCAGAGCCTTGAATTTCCTTTTTAATTACCCTGGCACCCTTCTTATCAACATCATCACTGCCAACCTGGATAATCAGCAGTGGGTAATAAATACACTTAACCACAAGTATGGAATATTCTATTGTTTTGTATGAAAAAAAAAAAAAAGGAAGCACAGAGGAGGCTTAGGACAAAGAGAACTGAATTCTATCAAAAATCTGCTCTTGATGATGAAATATTAATTTTTAATGGTTCCTACTTACTGCATTTTCCAACTGGCAGTGCATATGGAGGAGTATGCAGCTGCTCAGCCTGACAGCTCCAGATGGACCCATTTTTGAGTCATCTGCATGGAGGGAAAAAGGTGACCAGAAGGGTGTTTTTAAAATGAAACTAAGTCTACAGGAAGTCTAGAAGGAAACAGAACACTCAAACCTTTAGTCAGAGAAGAAGGGGGGTGTTAAGAGGTCAAAGAGTTTGTATCTCATCGACAAATTACTTCCTGTGAGTATAGTGGCTTACATTTTATGTCATTAAAAGTAGACTAAGAGTCAGTGACTTGACATCATCTTGTTCTTTAATGCATCCATGGATAATTTACCATTTCCCAGGTCAGGAGGTTGAAGCCAGGACTTCCATTATTAGAATGGATATAATGCAAGGATGGATCAATGGTCAGAGGCAAGAAAAGTTAAGCACCAGCATTCTAAATTTTCTTAGAATTAAAGCTTCACCTTTTCTAAAGCTTATCCTAATATACATGTCCAGAACTCTTTCCTTCCCAGACCCTTGTAAAGTGTTCAGCTAATAATTTGGTTTTTTTACAAAATTTACACCTACAAGCCTGAGCTGTCTATAAAACATAACTGTGCCTTCCAAAATGACCCATGGTTCAGATTTCTTTCTACTGAACAAGTTGATCATTGGTGTATATGTAAATGCCTGGCTCAGAAAATAATAACTGGTAAAATGTGAAACTCCCTGTGTCGATTTCTCCTACTGAGTGCTTTAATCACTAAATTCTAAATGAAAAGTGCCCTTCCCATCTTTGAAATTCATGAATTCAGTAATTGTGAACTCATTCTAGTGTACTAAAGCAACATCAGTGACTGAGATGTAGTGTGGTTTCCTGCACGAGTATCTTATAACGAGCTACTTGGAACACTATCACAAGTCTGGAAGTAGGACATGGCTATTTGCCATTTGGGACTCTTCTACCCTAAATAAAAACTGTGTTCACCTTAGTACTTAACAATATTCATTATCAAAATAGCAAACACAAAGTCAAAATTTTCAAAATAAAATGCCTCTAAGTCAAAATATATTACAATCCATACAATATAAAAAATAACTCTTTCATTCTATGATCTGAACTAAAATGGTTTTTTTGCATGGTTTTAGGTAGAAGACTTCTCAAGCAAGAGAAATTGTACTTTCTGGACAGAGATTAGAATAACATCTTCACCATGACATTATTTATGAAACATCACACCTAACTGTATGTGAAATGAAAGACTAAATTGCAGTGCCTTTTAAAATGAAGTGCAAAACCATGGATTCAAATAGAGATATAAACTACTTACGTAGCACTACTACTGTGAGCTATTTATGGCATAAAAATGCAAAATGTTTCATTCCCTTACCTGTTTTACCACTTGAGTCATAGGCACATCCACCCATTGGTGCCACATACCTTTTTCAGTTTAATGACTCCTTCCTGGGTGTACTCATCTGTTGTGATGTCAAACAAGTTTCCTCCATCTCCTGGAACTATGTTGTACTCAATTTCTGCATTTTTCCCAAAATCAGGGTCCACAGCTCTGATCCGTCCAATAGCAGAACCAACGTGAGAGGTCTCAGGTACTTTTAAATGGAAGATACCTGTGACAAAGTGGTAGACAGTCATTCTTGGGATTTCTTGGTAATTAAAACAGATATTTCTGATTAAAATCATAGAGCCTGGGGGAAAAAAAAAAGACCTAAGTAATCAAATTAAAATGAGGAGATGAAAACACCAAACGTTTTGAAAAATATATTCCTGTTTTATCTACTGACTTCCCCTAGATTCTAGATTTTTTCCATTGTACCTGTAAAGACATTAGCATTTATATCTCTTGAGATATCTGTCTATATTTCTATCTCTAACTTTTCACATGTGATTGGCTCTCTTGAATTAAATTGTACTTACAGACAGTAGTACAATTAGATAGTACATGTTTTTAAACACTTTCCTTTTGTTTTTCTTCTTGTTTTGATTTTAATTTGATTTTGCTTGTTTTTATTTTGTTTTGTGGTGGGTTTTTTTTAGCAAATATATTTATGATATATTTATATATTTCACATTGATTGAAAGGAAGAATTCAGTGGAAACAGTTTTCATCCATTTCTTTAAAATTCAATACTATAAATAAGTGTGCAACTCCTTTTGGAAGAAGATATAGAGTATTGTTCAGGCATGAGCCACCAGAGGGTGCTCTTACAAAAATTTCGGAGCTAAACAATTTTTAGCTTAGAACTATCTTGCTTTCAGATTATTTACTACAAGCTATAATAAAAAAATGAAAACAAACCACAAAAAATATTACACACTTTTAAAATAAGTATTGCTGCTGACATGTAAGGAGAAAATGGTTTCATTCAGGTGAACAACTATGTTGGAAAATGCTAGACATAATAGAGCTAAATGTAAAAGTCCAAAGTGCTTTGAGGCAGCCTTGATTTCAGCAGTAGCAGCAGGCCTGGGCTTGTAGCATGGTGCCCTGACCTATTTCACTGCTCCTGAAGTATCTGTATTCCTTGTTTAGCTGCACCTCTCGCTGGAGTTTGTGAGAAACAACTGCTCACTTTGAAAATTTACAAAAGGTTTATTAAACCTTAACAAAAATGCAACAAAGAATTACATAAGAAAAAAGCTGCAGCACTGGGAACTGCCCCTTGTGCATACTGCATGGCCAGTTCATCTTCAAGATGGATGCTCAGTCTTTTATACCCATGGCGGGTTGCATTCAGGGTTGCAGCCCTGGCCCTCCCTAAGGCCTGTCTGTCAGCTCTTCTTTGCCATTTATGGGTGGAGAATGCTTTCTTGTAGCTTGATTGGAGGTCAGGTGTTGCCATGCTGCACCCCCTAAGCAACCCCCTAAGCTTTTCCATTCCCAGCTGCCCCATGCAAGGGACACATGTGCACACCTCCTTTCTACCTGTCCTAGACAACCCCGGCTGTCCGATGGTCACAACACAGGGGGTGAAAAGGGAACTATGGGGAGAACAGAGGACATCTAAACTACAACAACATAACTATACATCCATAAAGCTTTTATTAATATTCACACAATAGTTATCTTTTAATTGTGAGAGCAAATAATCTCATTATCCATCTAAAACAAGTTGTTACTTTGCTCAGCTGCCAGTGAGCACCTCCATGATCAGTGTTTACAGTGGGCAGGCAGAGCTCACCTTTCTTCATGCAGCAGTCTCTGCTGTCAAAACTGCTGGCTACATTTGGAGCTGGTTTTGAGCCCAGGATGTTTGTTTCACTTCATCCTGTCTCTCAACAAAACTAGCCCTGTCATTTTATTTCCCTCGGTCCATCTTGTTTTCCTGGGTCAATGTTCCACAGCTCCCACAGAGCAGCCCCTTCCGAAAACATAGGCAGTGGCCGCTGGGTTCTGCTGCATGTGACATGTGGGGGGAAATTTGCACCTCTTTTTCAACAGCATAGCAGGACAGGCTCCTGTGACTCTTGGGAGGCACATTAGTGGTATGTCTCAGAGATTTCCACCCAGCAGGGGTTCAGCCACACATCACAAAATGAGGCTTTGAAAAGCTGTATATTATGTAACAGCAGGACAGATGACTTTCACATTCAGCTGCTGAATTAAACAGCAGACAATGTTCCCTGTCGTTATCTCCTTACAATGCATGCTGTGCCATCTTTTCAGCTTCACAATATTTTCAGGTGAGGAACAAAATGACATTAGCACTGCTGGATTAGGAGCAGGCTTACTGTTTTGTGAGCTAGTAATTTGAGCTATGGTACCTCTATAATTGTCTGTTTGATTGCCTCTGAAAAAATCCCTTCTGTTTGCTTCCGCCCTCTGGCCAACAGTATGCAAAATATACCAGAAGGCAAAATTTTGCCTTTTTTCTTAGAGAAAATCCCCATGAGTAAAGTCAGCTTGGGCCAGCATTTACTTCTGGACATCTCAGTGTATAGGTTTGTACTACCCATTGACTGAACTATTAAAGACTGAGCAATTATCATTTCACTAATTTTCTTTCCAAAGAAACATACTAAAGGAAGTGTTCTTAGTGTTCTTCTAACAGCAGGAAAGGATTATTATGACACAAAAGGGTGTCATGACAAGATATTCTCAGCTATGTCTCAGATGTACTTCAGTGATTCTGACTAAAGAATAAAATTTTGACATGCTATTCATGATACAGTCAGAAATCCTCCTATTATTTAAAGCCATTTACAAACACGTGTATTAATGGGTTTCTGCTATGCAAATTATGAAGAAAAGAGACCCAAAAGGCCTTTATCTGCACTTGAATCCTATATTAAGTTTCCGCAACATAGTCCTAGCCCTGATGTCCAAGTCTTTTACAGGCTCTTATATCGGATTACAGAAATCATTGCTGCAGTCATTGCTGTTTACAGCCACAATTTTAGTGAAAATTAAATGGAAGAGTGTATGATCATAGATTTTTCCATCTTTGACAGCTTGATCTCTTTTTAGTGATCTGAAGATCACTCAGATTCATTAAAAGAGACATTTCCCTATAAAATATTGCACCTGGCTGAAATGCATATGGGACTTAGATGGAGTCAAAGAAAGACTAAATTACTAATTTCTCATTGTTTAGGTTTTTATCAGTTATTTTCAATGACTTGGCATTTCATCATTTCCAGAAATTCAACAACAATAAAGATGGGGTCATCCAGACTAATTTGGAACTCTGAAGCAGTCTTCAACCTTGCAAGAGTCATATTTCTGAAGACATAGTATGTAATTACAGTGCCCTTGTCCTCCTGTGATATTATCTTCACAGCACATGGAAGCTGTTAACTGTTCTACTGTGACAACTTACTTTCAAAATAAAATAAATGAAAACAAATCATGTATATTGCTGCCAGCTTGCAGGAAAAACTTTGACAGAATATAATATATAGCATGAAAGCCTCATTCCCTTCCTCCCCACCCTCAAATAATAGAATGCTAGAATCACCAAATATGTTGAGCTGGAAGATACCCAACAGGAACACTGACTGCAACTCCTGACCCTGCACAGGGGTCCCTGAGAGCCACACCATGTGCCTGAATGTGTTGTCCAAATGCTTCTTGAACTCAGAAAGGCTCAGTCTTTGTAGGCAGGACATTTGAAATGATCAATATATGCTATACATCAAATGAGATAGAAAGACAGCTTTGTAGATTTTCATTTTTCTGTTTCCAGCAGACATTACTTCTTGCTGTGGACTTGCTGTGACAGTTTAGCATTATTCACTTTTTATTGTCCATTTTGCCTGTATACACTACTGCCTCCATTTGCTATAGAGATATATTGAAACAGGCCTGAGTAATAGCCTTTTACTCCCAAAGGTCCTGAAAACCTTGTTCTCTTCAGCTTCCAGGAATGATGGAACAAGCACTTCAGACAAACTTATGCAGCAGCTGGTTATGCTGCTCAAACAGTTCTGTCAAATTTTGTTGATGTGACTTCTCTGCCAACAAAAATCTTTCTTCTACTTGCATAAATCTCTTTTAAATGTGTTTTCTGAGTTTGTTCCTGTCTTTTGGGATGTACTAAAGGAGAAAGCCCGGATTTTCCTCATACTGCAGTAAAAACTGGACTCTGAAACTAGCTCCTCACTTTGTTGATTTTAGTAACATATATTGCATGCAAGACAGGATATTTTCATGTAAAGGAAAGCTGGTAGCAATAAATATTGTTTTATTGCTTGGTTAGGAAATTTTCTTTCATGTTGAGTGGCATCAGTGAGGATGATAAAAATAAATGAGTGATGATGCTGTTGAAGCTTTTAAGCTGAAATAACTGACAGGGCTAATTGCTTCGTCCCAAAATCATTCAGGAAAATGAGGCAGAGGTTAGCTAAGAATTCATACACACTGCCTCTGAGTTTCTAAAACAAAGATGGTTCCAAAGCACACAGTGGGAAGAAATAAGAGCTGAGTAAGTGACAGGTAATCAGTCATATTGACTGAAATGCAGCACACATTTACAGTTCCTCTGACGTGATTAGATTAGTTTTAGTTTTTAAGGCTCAAAATCTGTTCTGGGGGTTTGATTTTTACTTACGAAGATGTTAGGTGCTTTTTTGTTTGTTTTTAACTTAAAAAGAGGTTTTTTTGCTGTTGTTTCTCCACTCTTGAAGTTTACACCATCATTTACCAGAAAGCTTTTCAGGTCGGATAGGAATAGCACATAAAAACCATTATTACTTCTTATCAGCAAAACAACCATTAAGAAATAACCCATGTTCTTCCAAGGACTTAAGCTAAATGCATAATGGCCTTCAATCAAACAGCTGTAAATGATATTCGAATGTTTTTTCCTAATCTATCTCCACACTTGTACTGTGCAAGATTATCCTCTCCTGATTTTTCTTTGTCTCTACTTCTTTCAGCTTTCTGGCAGTTGCCAAGTTATTGCATTGCAGTGGAGCACAATAGCATGATTCTTAAAGGCAAAAACACTGGAGTAAAAATAATTAATCTCTCTTTCTTCTAAATCTTTAATGTTTCTTCAGGAGAAAAACAAAACACCAAAACAAACAAAATAGAAATAAACAAACAAAACCACAAAATAAAACAAACAAAACAATCAGACAAGCAAAAAGAAAAAAAAAAACCAACAAA